CACAAATAGAGGCAGCACACCAGTCTAACAACACTCAGAGAGACCAAAACGTTATTAATCAGCATTTCCCGGTGCATAATGATACAAGTGTATGCTCAAGTCAACTGGATACGTACCAGAGATGCAATTCCACGTGCATCTTTCATGAGTTCGGTGCCCCTTAAGAACATATCAGCCAGTGCTCCCTGTAAAGCTCACAGGATTAGATGGAGCACAGGTTTCTTGAAAATGATGTGCACGTGCAGGAACAGACACCACACCCGCATGCTTTCCAGTTCAGTGTGGCAAAATAGCTCTAGTCCAATAACATAAATGCTTATTGCAGAGTAAATGGATATGCTTTTATGGTAACACATGATGCACAGCAATTATCATCTTAATATCAGACAGCATACTACAGTAACATGTATGATTCATGTTCAAACATCTAGGATGTTCAGGGCATGCACGTTCATTATGCTTGTTTCCCTCGTATATTGCGGATTAAGATGTTAAAACCACTCTATTTAAGGCACTTTTCTTTTATCTTGATGAAGTCGATCATTTCCAGCCAGAAGTAGCAATACCAATGTTAGCATTTTATATGTTTTCTTCCAGATTCTCTGTATTTGTTGAGCATGGACTTTGAGATATCTTTTCTAATAGTCCCAATGAAATACAAGAGAATTAGAGTTTTGAATAAATCAAAGCTTATTCATTGTCCCAAGGAATTTTTACCTGAACAGCAACTCGATAAAACAGCTCCTCCCCGATAGAACTTGCAGCGACAATGAGTATGAACTGCTAGGACCACCAGATTAATTCTTGGTCATCCACAGACACAGTGAGATTGGCTCTCTACATACAAGAAACAAACTGCAGATAATTACCTGCCACGGTGACATGCCATAGAAGAAGCTCCGGAGCTCCTCATCCTCCACATCTCTGATAGCACGAGCATGGGGTGAATACTTCACCACCTCATCCTGTGAGAACATACACTTGTCAGCTAGAACATGAAATAGATGGCCATATCAACTATAAGTGGATCTTAGTCTATAACAAACGGAAAAGTGGTAGGACTGCGGGAGGACTTCAGAAAGACAACGAGGCACTTCTACTACATACATCTAGGATGAAGAGCAGAGCCATGATAGGTGGAGCAGCATAGCCCAGACCGTCCAGGACCGCTTCTAGCGACGGATGGAATCCTCCTGTGCAATCAATCCCAGCAGTGGAGCATATGAACTTCCCCGCAAGCGCCATAGCTCCGTATATACCTGATTCGTACCAAAAAAAAAAAAAATCAGGTTTTTAACTTAAATTTCCACATCCATTTCATACAGTAATATCGTCGAACAGAGAGTATTCAGTCCATGACAAACGTGTTCGTGCTGTCTACTTGATTCAAGTAAAGATCCGATCTCTATGCGCTTGCAACATATAATCGATCACTAATTGCAAGAAAATAGTACTGATTTCACCAAGATACTATAGGAATTCGGGCAAGAGGGGCAGGGTCTAACCTATCCCGTAGCTGAGCCTAACAACAGCGCCCAACCTCTCCCAGACGGGGAATTCGGAGTCCCCGCTGCCGGCGAAGCTCCGCTCGATGACGGTCGTGGTCGTTGTGCTCGCGGACGCCGGCGACGCGGAGACCTCCATCACGGGACCGCCAGCTGCGAAGCCCCTGGGCCGGGGTTCTCCGGCGCCTTCGGTGTTGATCCTCTCGTGGCTCCCCTCCGCGGACGCCTTGATCTGAGCCCACTCAGCGACCTTCCTCCTCTCCCGCCTCCAAGAACAACATCCGTAAGAAGAGGAGGAGAAGGACGACGACGGAGAAGAAGAGGAAGGAGAAGCGGAGGAGAAGGGGGAGATGCTACGAGGAGACGCGATGCAGCTGAGCTCCATTTCAACTGGATCCGCCGGATTGACGAAGTGAAGCTTTAGAGATGTCTTCGCTGCGGTCGTCGTTCCATCTCGAGTTCCTTACCTGGACACCTGCCTCGTTGGGCACCTCAGGTATATTTATATAGATGTATATAAATATCTCCCCTTCCCCACCAACGCTTACACCACGAGAAGCCCCACGCGAGACGTTGATGCGATCATCGAAAGGCGCTGATGGGGTGGTGAAACGGTGGGCGTCGGCCTTCGTGGTATGAGTTTCACATGTATATATTTAGTAAAAACTAGTACGACATGCTCGGAAATACCCGTGCAAGCACCTACCATTTCATTGGTGAGAGCACGTCCGTCGGAAGATGAAAGAAACATCACTGGAGTTCGGATTAGAATCCTCGACGGCGATTTGCTCGGCGAATGAGCTGGCGCCACGTGGCTACAGATAAGGCGCGCGTCCACCGTGTAAGCCAAGTCAAGCATCGGATAACCCTTCCGTCTCCTCCTCTCGCTGTACTTGGAATTGCGCCTTTTTCCAACTCAAGTCGAGAGCACTTGGGATTTGGTTTGGCCACTTCTTCTGCCATCTGCCTTATGCCGCTCGAACTCCTTTAGGGAGCTCGGGATGCGTCTCGTCTCTATGGGCCGCACTAGCCACTCGTTTGATAGGTTGTGGGCACTGCGACACCTTATGGAAACTGAGGCCGAGGAAGAGTCTCATGAAATCTGTCTCTGCGATCGAGATGTCCACTTGTTCGTAGTCTTCCGCCATCGAGAGGCCACAATAACAGCTACAATGTCCGGTGACAACCGGTGGGAGCATCCCCAACTCCTTGTCTCTTTGGGAACAAAAAAATCACTAAACTGATTTGGAAAAATAATATATATATATATAATATATATATATATATATATATATATATATATATATA